CGGGGATTTGGGGGGGGTCGGGGGGGCCCCCCCCCCTCCCCCCCCCCCCCCCCCCCGTCGATTTCTGAAAAAAAAAAATCAATCCAATGGCCCCCTCTTGAAATTAGAATTTTGGCTAGCTGAATCTTAGTTCTAAACCGCACCAGACACCACCGCATCTGTACATTAATTTGTTGGCAAGCTGAGATTTTCCAAACTTTCACAAACCGGGTTAAGCTTGGTAAACAAAAAATAAAATGCAAATTGGTCGCGCTATAACCACTGTGACAAAACATGGACACGTAATTAATGAATCAATAATACAGATACAAATGAGTAATGGAATATGTTGCTTCTGATGGATATAAGAAAATTATCTTTTAGATTTGTTCCAAGACACAGATGTACCTGTTATTGTCTTCGAATCATTGGATTAAAAAGAGGGTTTATTTCAAAAGTAATTAGTAGATCACTGCTACCTGATTCTAATGCGAAATGGAACATGATGCTTCTGTTGGTAGCTAGAAGATTATCTTTCAGATTTATTTCAAGACACAGATGCAGCTGTAATTAACCTTGGATTAAAGCGTGAGTAATGAGGGTAATGAGGGTATACCATGACAAGTAATTACTAAATCCATGTTACCAGATACAAACGAATGATGAAGTATGACTGTGTATTATAAATCTAATCCACTTGTCTAGATTTCATGTTCTGTGGTTTTCTAGACAACGCAATAACTGTGTCAAAACTCTGGAACAAAGATTCTCGCAATTGTTTTCTTCTAAAATCATTTCATATTCAAAATTTATCACAACTCGGGACTAACTGATTACGATTGACAGTAACCGCTAATCCTTCCCAAATTTGAAAAGGGACAAATTATACTCTCTGGCCATAAGGTGAACTAGCAGTCTGTTCCAAAAATGCTGAAAGCGAGCGTGATTTTGTATAGTATTTTAGTGGACATCAGAGGGCACCACATGAGCTAGTAGGACTTCGAGTGGGGCACAGGTAGAATCAGCACCTCAACTTGACAGTGGCGGATTTAGAGGGGGGTCGTCAGGGGGGTCTTGACCCCCTCTTCGGTTTCTTAAAAAAATCGCAGTAATATTCCTCTCTTGGAATTAGTATTTTAACAAGCTGATTTATAGTACTAAACCGTACTAACTGGCACCGTTCGCTCTCTGAAATACTAAAAAATTTTAGGGGCCCTTAAGCGAGCCCCAAACCCCACGCCATCGAAAGGGGGGTTCCACGGATGTGAAGCCGCCCCTCCCCCCTTTCAAATAATCCTGGATCCGCCCCTGGCTTGACACCTGTCATGTGATTTATCAGGTATGAACAACCATGTTTTGCACCAAGATGTAAACACAAATTCGAGTAAATATATTTGTTTTTAGCAGAATTTACAATCCGCCCTGAATAAATCAACAACATAGCATAAGATTCTTCATTTTAGATGTAAGATGAATAAGTGAACACGGTTACTACATAAAAATCAAAGAAAGCAACACCACATATGGACGAAAGAAAGGTATTCTTACCCTAACAAACGAGACCCGTTCTATTTCCACGTGTGCCTGGGCGTCTTCGAACTCCAGTATGCTCAGTAGACTGTCAGGGTATCTGGATTCTACTTGCAAATACGATGTGAGACCGCCAGCTGTACATACAAATGATTTTTTAAAAGTTTTTAACACCTTTATGACTGTCATGCCTCCTAAATTCGTCCTCCCCCCCCCCTTCCCGACCCTGTTGCATGCGCCTTTGACCGGCAAGGTTGAAGATAAGGGAGAGAGGGGGAAGGGGCACAACCCACCAACCTCATACACCTATGCCTAACGGTGCATTTTGGTATTGTCCAGAGTACCTGATGACCAAATGTCGAGTCTTTTTATAGCCAAGTGAAGAATATTTGTCTCAAGAACCACGGGGCCAAATAATCGGACGCATGCACTCCCATCTAATCTGATCAGTATTTGCTGTTGCACTGAACTACCTATGGAATGCGTACTCGAAAGAGGGACACCGTCTTGAATACCCATATGGATTTTTGTTTAGAATATCATTCTCTACGGATGGAACCAATCAGTTCATGATAAACCCATAGTGAGTTATTAGTTCACTTTAGTATGGTTCTGAACCATTAGCGATCTTGTCATAAAATTGGTGCAATGTGTTTTTTATTCGGTTGGGCTTCTACTGTTTTATCTCGGGATAAACTTAGGTTTAATATTTGGCCTTAATAAAAGGTATAGGTTTCAGCTCAAACAGACCATACAAACACACACATAACATGTTATACTTTATTTTCCTGTTTTTTTTCTAAATAGTGTTACAGAAGAATATTGTCTCTACAAATTCATGGTACTATGAAAAATTCACGTGAAAAATTGTGCTACAACCTTTCTAGTATTTACATCTTGTTTACATGTCATAAGATACGAAAATAGCATCCATTCAAAGTAATAAATTGGTGGTTGGCCAACGACATATTCCATGTGTTTTACAAGTTTTTCATAGAACACACATTTAAAATCGGTAGGAAAATGACTGTACATGTATCGTTTAATACTTGAAATGTTTATCCAGTTGTTTTGTCTTTTTCATGATTTATTTATTTTCAATTTTCTATCATAAAGTTAATGGCTAGAGTTCATGCTCGTGATCGTGCGAAAAAGAGAGCTACAGCGTGCTTTAACAGACATATTTCTCTAATAAATGCACTTTAATTGTGCCTAATACGCTGTCTTAACAGCTTTTAACAACTATTGAGCTATAACTAACGGAAATCAAAAGAGCAGATCTAAAACTTGTAAAAATTCTTGGTACTGTATGCACCCCTGATTGAGTAAGAAAAACAAATACAATTACGTTAATTGGATAAATACAAATATAAGTTAGTCTGCGATATATAGTCCTTTGAAACATTCATCGGCGTTTAATATTTTAGTGGATGTACCCATAGATACGATTACAAATTGAAAATACGTTTGAATTTGAAGAAAAAAATCAAAATTCACAAATATCTTTTGTCGCTAAAGAAGTAACAGGTTGACTTGAAGTACATGTAGCTCCCTATATTTTTCTGGTGAACATTTTATGGTAATTAATCTGATATAAGAATTTATAAAACTGTCTACGTGAATTACACGGTTTGATAGAGTAGATAAAAAGGCAAATCGTGTCGAATGCCCAATGTATCAGTTCTTGCGCACAAAGGTTGCATATTTCCCAAAATGAATAATATTTTTCATTTAAGCTACACGAATGAGATGTATCTGTTGTTTGTTATCAAAATTTAAGTGCCCTCTCAGAAAAAAAAATATACAGGCAGGGGCATTATTGCAGCCTCTTATTAATACATATCAAATATTGCATGGAACAGTTAACCTTTACATGTCAACTGTTTATTTTTCTCATCAAGGTCTTTAGTATCCTCCCTTCTACACAAACATTTACGCAAATTAGACATGAACAATTATAAAAAAAGAAATACATCGCTTGAGCGACAAACACATGGAAACTTCGCAAAATATGAAAAAAAAATTAAAAATCTGCCGGAATAGTGAAAACGCATGGATTTTTCCATCTTATCCTCAAACATTATCTTTTCGACCAAAAGAATATCTTTTGGAAGCATTAAAAGAGAATGCAGTTTCCAAAGTTCATATCCTGCATCCATTACAATCTTGAAAATCTGCAATTTCAAATACTCTCCAGTCGAATAGAAGTACGAGGTTGTTCAATTAATATCTTGTCCATCCCCACGTTCCTGGATCACCGCCTTTGGAGTAAGGATCTTCGTATCCGTAAGGTGGACGACCCGGGCCGTTGGCGTACGGATCCATGTAGTCATAAGCTCGATTGCGGCTCCTCATGCTGTATGTATCCAATGGGATCTTTTCATCTTTCAACTTCTGCTTGATCAACCAACTGGCGATGAGGTACAAGATGGCCGAAATAGCGCCTATTGCCATGCCAACCCAGCCCAAGATGTAAGACCAGCCGTAGCTGCGGACTGTATTTGTAAACAAATCCTGAAAGGGAAGGATGAGAGACAGCTGTGATATAAGACGTCATTTTTACCTCTTTTGAATCCCTTTCATGGGATTCCTATTACATAATGATGAGAATACCAATAACGAAATAAACTGTAAGACGTCATTTGTAACTCTTTTGTACCCTTTTAATAGGATTCCCATTTTTCATTAGTTTATGATAAGAATGACCATAATGAAATGTTGTAGCCACACCATTTCCTTGGTAAAAATTGTTTTATTATAGTATTAAGACCTGCGAGAGCATGTCACCGACCAGTGCTAGATCTTTCAGATACAGGATGGTTGCATGCATGCACAAAGGTCGTTTGTCATTTTGTGAATTTTCATGTTACCATAAACTACATTAAAACTATGTTGGATATTTTGCAATGACATAAGCATCGAAATAAACACTGGTGAAAATGTAAAGGCAATTACGTCCAAGAAAATTATAGTTCAGTTGTAAATCTTATTAAAATGACTTGAGTGTTATCAGCCAGATGTATCGCGTTTGTATTAACATAATCAGGTTTTTACGAGACGGGGCCATAAACAAATTTGACACACAGTAGGAACCAAAACTAGACCGGGATATGAGACAGGCCACCGTTATCAGCCTTTTCGATTATCTTTACACTTACTCAGTTATGGAATAATACATAGTCTTAGATGTGGCCTACCCACATCTAGAAATCTCTGTGTAATTATTTTGTATGCAACGTGACATAGATACCGTGGCGGTTTTCATGCATCGGTCCTTATCCGAAATGTGATTATTATCATAGAGGTCGTGCATACATGCAACGAAAATAATCTCTCTCTCTCTCTCTCTCTCTCTCTCTCACACACATAGAGAGAGAGAGAGAGAGAGAGAGATTTTGAAACCACAAGTAAAATAAAATATGATCGAATCGCTCTTTCATACAAAGAAGTACATCAGAATTAAATCGTATAAACTCCAACAATTGTACCGCTGTATGAGCAAAAACAACGATGAATCATTAGATCCCAGTCAAAATAGAATATCTTATTGTTCAAGAAGTCCCGTTAATTGTCTACCGACACGAAAAACAAGGAGCAATGGAATACCATCATGCGTCTGATAAGTGTCACAAATCGTACTTACCGAATGCCAATTCAGCGGGAAGGTGTTGTCTTCGCGGACCTTGTTCCTCTCGATGTATTCGGCACCATGGAAGAAAGCCATGCCAGCCGCGGTAAAGAAAGCTGCGATAAGAATGAAACACTTATATGTGTGCATGTTGTCAAATTTTTAAAGAGAATATAGTGGGTTGATATTTTTTAACAGACTGGATATTGATTTCATGTTTAATATTTGAATCCCTCAGCTTTATTTAAAACTAGTAAAATATAAATTATTAAAGTTAGGTAAGTTGATTAAAAGCAAACAGACGGTTCGTCTCTAATGCAGAGTCCCAGAAAAGGAACTACATTCAAAATAGGTCACATCCTGTTTTTAATAGGAATTTCGTGATAACAAAACAAGTCATCTTTGAATATCTCTTGATGCTGAAAATTAAAATTTTGTAAACTGTTGGCATCAAATTTTTTTCCTGCAATTAACACGTGTCCCCCAACTAAAAAACACAGAAGAGGTCTTTGTAAATCATTCTCAAATATCGTCAGTGTAATTCCATGACAGTGATAAATTAATAACATAATGGCGGCGAAAAAGGCTTAATTGAGTTTGGAAGATTAATTTCATAAAAGCTCTCGAATAAGTTACATTATCAAACGGATGCAGGAACAGTAATTTATCACGTATTGCTCAACATCGGAGAACAGAGCGCAGGTCCAGATTTAAAAACGCGCAAGATGATGAGGTTAAGTTTGTATAAATAGCGTCTCCAGTTCATGCTTTTTTTTTTTTTTTTTTTTTTTTTTTTTTTTTTTTTTGCAGGGGGGGGGGAGGTTTCACATTGTATACGATTAAAAATTGGTATATTATGTAAACATCACACCCCACCAGACCACTTTAGTTCAACGTAAACGAAAAGTAAATCAAAGAAAACAAAATATCAGGCAAAGAATTTTACCCATAAATTACCCCAAACCCATTAACTACGTCTTAGGAAATCTGACAACTCATGGCAGTCTTAGTAGGGGCCATTAGGATCACAAAGGGTGCACCAGCTGCGAGAATGTAAGATGTAAGTGCAAGACACGAAAGAGAAAACAATGGCAATATATTTAGCGACATGTCGCTTATCGTACCTCCGATGAACACGACAACTGCGGCATATCTGGACGTCGTTGCTTTAGCTTTCCAGCAGCCGAAGGCTCCAACCACGCAGCCAATCAGGAGGAAGAAGAGGGCCGTGATAAGGAAACCCACATGACATCTCATTAAATCTGAAACAAAGCATAGAGTACATATAATATAATACAGGTGACTGGTCTGATTCTCCGCGAAAGGAGTTATCTGTTAAGATCACAATCTAAAGTCGTGTTCTACATACCTAATTGTTTTATATGGAAATAGCCACTGCACGTCCAGGCATGGCAGCAACGATACTTACAGGTGGCTATTTTGTCCTCGAAACAACCTCATCAAAATGATTCAGACAAAAAAATAACGTGAGGCAGAAATGTGCATATATATATATATATATATATATATATATATATATATATATATATCATGAGTCTAATTTTTTAAAAATAATTTAATCCGTCTTTCGACGTTGCTGAACCAAACACTCACTGCATGAGACAACGAAACCAAGACGTTGTTTTCAAGTGACAAGGCAAATTCACAGACGGGTGACTAGCAAACATCGCTAAGCTCTAGTTTCCATATAAAGATTAAGCCCCACATTCACAATGTTGACAAGACATATACTCCTCCCTTTTCCTATCTAGGGCCACAGGTACAGCACACTTTTGTCGTTATATTACCGAGGCAGGTAACAATAGCGCTGTACACACAAACAAGAGGGTCACGTCCCGACGGTGAAAAAAGAGATCGTGTCAGCTTCGGTTATCTCATTGTTGGCAGTTGAAATATGCGGAATTTTGTTTATATCAATGAAAAAGGCCACCTCAGGAAACGAAACACCTGTAGCTAAGAATATTAAACGATAGCGACCTTTGTCGTAATTTTTAAGACCTATGATTAATTTTGCTTCATGTCATAGCTATGGAAACTTTCTGGTGTTCCTGACTTTCACTTCTTGTGTCTTCTTTGAAGTACGGAAATTTAAGCATAAAAATAAAAAGTTCTGTTGGTAAATGACCAAGGATCCCAAGAGGTTAAGATGAACAAGGCTGACATGTTAAAAATATATAATACAAGACACATGTATATACTTACGTATCCTCAGTCTGTAGTCGCTGGATTTTAAGTTAAAATTATCAGGCTCTGGGATATCATAATTCAGATAGAGACAGTTGCGGTCTATTCTCTGACTGTTATATGGCTCTGTCTCCAAAACTGTAAAAGAAAAATAATATAAGAATGAAATTACGCCTATTGCTTAAAAAGATTCGGGTAAATAATTTGATTATTCTTCAATGATCCTTCACATCATACATGTAATATTCACACATTCATATTTTTGGTGATTTCTATATTGAATTTAAAACCTAAGATTGGGTTTTACTTCAGAACACCCCACCCTTTACGATTGGGGGGGGACTTGTTTTTAACAAACGAGGACACAAAAATATTGCATTTCATTAAACAATCCCCCCCCCCAGGATATACAGATTATGGTCTACCATTCACATAGACAACGATACGAGGAAATTATGCACTCAGTCTGTGTAAGATACCGCCGAAGAAGATAATATCTCAAATTTCCATTTCTTTTTCTCCAAATCAACACACTTTGCAGGTAGACAAAAGACATTCTCACCTCGTGCGAGCACTCAGCGTGACTCCCAGGTCAAAGAAGCATTATTAACCTCTCTTTTGCTCTCTTTAATTTCGTATTATCTATTAAGATCATCAAGGGGACGGTTAATGAAATCGACAATCTTTTCCTGAGTACAATTGAATCACCATGCAACTCTTATGCCGAAGCACTGACTACACACACGTGTCATTTTTACGGATAAGTAATTTTATAACCGATATTATCAGATAACGTATATATATATATATATATATATATATATATATATATATATATATTTTATTTTTTTTTCTATGAAAATAAAACACACTCCATCGCAAATTTCGCTTCAAATTAAAGTTAATAGACCTTTTTCTAAACTTCTCAAACTATATATTCAAGAAAGGGCTAGACAGTTGTTGTCATGGTTCTGTTATAAGGCTTGTATAAGGATTCAAATCATATTGCCTTATTTTTATTTTTTCTTTTTTTCTCAAGTCTATGGGTTTCTTTCATAGGCATGCAATTCACCGTTAATTTGTTTTTATTTGGGTTATTAACGCCAAGTCATGTTGTACATAAATAAACAAACACACACACACACACACACACACACACACACACAAACACACGCACATAAACATTCTAGACAAGTGGCAAAGAATGGTTGGATTCATTAATATATGTACTAATGTATTAATATTTACATTCATGAGTTTGTAAGTACCAGTAAAAGAGACTTAAAACAGAAATCACGTTTGGTTTCATCCAATTTGAGCCTGGTCGAAAACGCTAAAAATTATAAATTTAGAACGCGTTCAAAACAGTTATCAATAAAAACAACATTACAATATATGGAAATAATTCTAAATGTAATTATGAGATGGGTGTGGCCGAGAGCAGGGGGGAGGGGGTGATTCACCCACATCATAAATGCGTGCTGACATAGTCGACATTCTTCTCCATTACATCCATTGTGTTCCCTTGGTGAAAGATAATAGGATGTCCACCCCGAGTCAAAAGATAATCAGAGCGTTGCACAAGAGACGCGGATTACTGCAAAATGATACGGTTCTGAGACACCCAAAGTGGTCAGGAATCCATTCACTGCTGTTGGGGAACCCAAACCTATCCGCTACTGTCATAACAGATCACTGGTAATAAAGAGACCCAAAATTGTTAAGTGGACACTCCTGGGTTACTCCCTAATGCCCCGACATGCACACCTGACATTGTTAATACAAAGTACTCTGTACTGTTAAAGGGGTTTCTCAAGGTTATTGTTAGTCAAATGTTAAGGAATGTGCCTGTCATTTGATATGTCGCCTCGAGATGGGTGTTTGAGAGCCGCAAAACCAAGCAGGTAATTTTTTTACAAAAAAGTAAAATTTTATTTGATACCAATACTACAGTTTCATCGTCGGTGAAAAAAAAAAACATTTCCATTCCAAAACGTATTACAAAAAGAAGTTGTGATGTATTCTAAAGGCTTAATTAGAACCGTTTCCTACCTTCAACTAAATGTTTTAATACTAAATGATATTTCTTTTCCAAAGCATTATGAATGAAAATTAATGCCGTCACGCAAAAATATTATAAAAGTGTAATTTACGTTTTGAAAATTTCTCATAAGTTTCAAAGCTTTGAATTCCTTTGCTAGGTCAGGGTGTAAATAAACGGTCCTTCCTCACCTCAACCCTTTTAATACAACTTGACAAACTATCCGTAACTAAAACTTTATATCAAAATGCAAATTCTCCATTCGCCGTCTTTAAAACGAAGAAGAAAATAATTACCAAAATAAAGTCTTATTTCGAACATTCAGAAACGGTTTACAAAAGGTGGCTTATTCCCCCCTCTCCTCCCCCCCCCCCCCCCCACTAAATGTCACGGGGCTTATGCTGTACACGTTATCCATTATATTATGAGCCCCACAACCCATACATTATACAGTATTCCACAGTGTTTTATATATTCAAAATCTCAGCCTGCTTGCAGTGCTAATTCGCCAAATCATCCCCGTTTCGTGACGAGGCCACTTTACTGCTAGGTAATAACAGAGGCCTGTGCTCCGTGCCTAGCTCATGCCTGCCTATCAGCATTAACATATGCTGAAGATAAACTCAGAAGCGACCTGTTGTGAGCTGGTTTTCAACAAATATACCATACACATATAGATACAGTTTATTCAACTGTATGTTAAATAGCATCTTGTCACACTGTTAGACTTCAACGTGCCAAATGTGAAAATCCCAATGTCGGTAAAAAAAATCAATTATTGAAGTCGCGCGTAAGAGTTCAAATACTTGCGTAAGGTTTACTAACATACAACAGGTGCTTATCGTTGATCTTTCCATCCTTTAAACCTTCGATTAAGAAACTACTGACGTGACGTGCTGGTCAATATCATATTTATTTAACTTATATAGGACACCTACGTGACTGGACAGCAGTGTACAAGTTCTAAATGACGCATGACTCACGAAATAACTTGGGTGTGTCCATAAACTTACAGTATAATGAAGGCGTTCATAGTTTGTTATTGATGTATTTTTTAACCGAGGACCGATCTGCGTTAGGTTAGTTTTGTCANTTGATCTTTCCATCCTTTAAACCTTCGATTAAGAAACTACTGACGTGACGTGCTGGTCAATATCATATTTATTTAACTTATATAGGACACCTACGTGACTGGACAGCAGTGTACAAGTTCTAAATGACGCATGACTCACGAAATAACTTGGGTGTGTCCATAAACTTACAGTATAATGAAGGCGTTCATAGTTTGTTATTGATGTATTTTTTAACTGAGGACAGATCTGCGTTAGGTTAGTTTTGTCAATAAAGATTAACAAAAATGTGGAAAGAAAATTTCTCCCTCTTCTTTACTATACATAAACATTACTTAAGCAATGTATAATACAAGAGATTTTAAGTACAACGATTCATATTTTAATATCTATTTGCACACCTTATTTCGCAATAATGCAGGCAGGGAGAGAGAATTCAGTTTCCACTAGCATATATAATTATCACTTTTGTTAATTTCCGTGTATCCTCAATTGAACAAAGTTAACGACAAGTTATTTTTATTTACTTTTGATTGAGAAAACATCGATAACAATACATATAAGGACGCCATACCTACATGTATATACATGACCACTATGTTGCTACTGTTGCGTATTTCTACGCATGGGCGCGGTCAAGCCGGAAGTTGTAGGGTGGGGAAAAGAAGTGTGCAAAAAGTAAGGTTACTTTTCAATGACAAAACAACTTTTATCAAGCACAACCTGTTTTATGTATAACATGAATCCTAAATCTCTCGACTTGCTTCTACTTTAAACACTTACACGTTGTTTCGTTCCCTTCGTAGCAGGTCCTGAAGAGTCCCCTGTGCCGACTGTGATACCATGGCAGTCTGTTTTTCTCACTGATAACTTGACTCGACGTAGATTGAGCTAAAGCAGATCTATCCACTGTATATTGCAACCAATTGTCCGTTGAAAACGATAAAGCCACAAAAAATAAAGAAACAACCGTGAAAAAGATGGCAAATGCTAAAAACGCTGTGGACGACGCCATGATCCCTCACACTATAACATTCCAGTCTCGTCCCCACTCTCTTCACATATTGTATTGATTCATTGTGTTAAAGTGCGCCCCAGTGCGCACAAATGAAAGGATAGATTTACCTGCCTAGTGCCCGGATGCACCTAGATAGGTCTCGACCGACTGATAACTCATAGGCCCCCAGGTAATTACTTTTCATACACGTACCGTACTGAGTGGTCCTGATATGAATCTCTTTATAACAATGGCGCTGTTCTTCTTAATGAATCATTTTTCGTGCATCTGCCGAATGTGACTTGCTTATTATCTCTTTTCTTACGTAGTATTTTCGGTGCAAGTTGTACCTCTATTGGACCTTACGCTTAGCATTAGATAGAAAAGAGATGGGGTAGTTAAAGTACCATGAAAAAATACACGTGTTGTAGTGTAAATACAAAAAATTCATTGGGAAAACTAGCCAATAGTTAAATATTTGAGCTGGTTCACGAATAGCTTTGGACCTGGCCAGGTGAGAAAGGCGTTGTCCACAGACAAAGGCCTATGGGGCAAGGTGCCGCCTTAACTGGGGAACACTGGCTATTGTATTATAAATAGCTCGGTAGTATGAATCACAAATCTAGCAAGCTGAGAAGGCACAGCCACATTGTTCATTGACTGAGACCACGCCTACTTAACTACACACCGCCTGAATAAGGGGCGAGGGTTTAATTCTCTCTTAAGTCATGTGAGTGTTCTCACCTTCGCATGACTGTCACATCTTGCATATTGAAAACAACTCGAATTCGAGATTATAACGCGTGTTATAATTAAGGCACGCAATAACTACCATTTCTTTGTAAGAAAACTCCCTTAATAGACCCCTCGATATATTTCATCATGACAGATACTTACCTACGATGTACTAGTAGAGATGTTACATGTATGTGACCGCGGCGATATACGCTTTATTCGGATTCAGGATTTTTTTCAGTGAAATAAGAGTACTTTTTCTCGGTATGCAAGTTAAAAAATATGCTGATATCATCTCGCAGTAAATGCCTTGAACACCTCTCGAGATGTTCTGGCATATATCGCTCAGGTGACGGTGTATTATCTCACACATATCCATTTATTACTGCTACAATGTACTAACAATACTGCTACCCTTTTTTAACACCTTAATTTACTGTGCGAATTTCGTGTTCTCTTAAGTTAAGACAGAAATATATGTGACCCAGAATACCTGAAAAATATTGTATATTTTTTTGCCAAGTGGCATTCCCTTATAAAATACCATATTACAAGTACGTATTGTAAGCTGTTTTTTATTTGAAAATCAATTAGTTAACAAAAAATAAAAAGATTCCTCTGATTTGGGGTCGGTATGAGATTAAACAAAGTAGAATGAATTTAACAGCGTGCATTGTTGAAATTAGCTTGATAAAATCACAGGCGCGCCCATAATAGAACTGGAGAGGTCGAAGAAATGGGTTTTTTAACAATGCTTTGCTCAGCAAGTCTGCAGAATAAAGCATGGTATTTATGGAATCAAATTATTGTTATGTCTTCTATGCATAATAATCATTTTATACATGTTAGCGACACGGCGATGGTTTTCATATTCTTGAAATGGTCACAATAATACCAGTATGAACTTGAATGAAAGGAGCACGTAAAGATGTTTTTGCAACCAGATGTGTTTTCTCTTATCAGGGATCTTCTATACTCTACCCTGCCGTTTGGTAGCCGCTCAGTCGAATTCGAATTACTCACAGTCAAAAAATTAAAACCACACGCGTAAAAATAGGAGAAAATATCGCTTATGTCCCTGCTGCACATGTATGTCTAACAATAGTGGGGCATGCATCAGGAATTTGTTATTTTTAGTGCATGCATTTTCTTTCTTTTGTCAACTTGTCCCCTTTAAGCGAATGAAAATTAAAAAAAAAAAACGCCAAGCTGTAAAGACTTTATTGTATAAACATGGCTGGTCTTTTTAACTTACAGTTGGCTTCAATCGAAAAAATAAGACAAGATGAATTGAATTCATGTAATATGAAGACACCCGGTTCAAGGTCTTACAACCTTGAGGCAGGGGCGGATCCTGAGATATTTTCTGACAGTCTTCCAAATTATCTTTGTTTATCCATCTTTCACTTTTGACCGTCTTCCGACAGAAAACATTAGATGGCTGACAATGTAAACTTGAAAATCTGACCGTCTTCCAGAAGATCCAGAAGGCGGCCTAAATCCGCCCCTGCTTGAGGTAATTTTACACGCCTGGCCGTTATAAACAGACGCATACAGTGCGTTGTCTCTCCAAACTACAACTATCAAAATGTGTCGGGAGGACTAGAGAGGAGCAACAATCGCAATTTGAATGCAGCTAGACGACTAAAAGCGAAACGCACTCTAATAAAAACAGGAAATTAAATAGGATGACAGAAATAATTTTTGTGGAGGCGCGACTAAACTGCTTTAAATTTAGAAGGTTGTGGTATCAAAGCAGGAGAGAAGAAGTGTCCCTTTTTTCTACGTGTGATTCAATTATTAAACTATGAAATAATGAAAATGAAAGGCAAAGAAGAGTAAGGCTTTTCGGACACGAGATGGAGCACCCAGGAGAAGAGGGTAGTGGAAATAAGTATTATTCCCTTAATAGTTCGTCCAGATAGCAGATTCCTTGCAACCTCATACCTATGGGGATTATGTCTTAGTTATCCAAACATAAGTACGCATACAGGGGCGAAACCAAGATAATATGAGAAGGGTTTGGGGAACGAAAATCTCGGACCCAAGGACTAATTAGCCGGACGAAAACTATTGTTTCTTCAAAGTAACATCTCTGAACAACAAAATGTATTCAACTGATAGTATTAGTGGATGCTTATAAATAAACCCGACAGTAATGGACTGGTTTTGGAACAAAGCTTGCCGACGCATTGCACATGTTCTTTATTCACCGCTAGATGGTGCCCCAAGTTTGATATGTACACACTGCAAAATAGTTGTTTTTTTTTCAAGATATCCAGGGCATGGTCTCAAGCAGAGGCTGCTTTGTATTAGTGAATTGCAACTCCGGATCCGCTCTTTTTAAGTCAGTCAATCTGCAAATTCACGTATGTTAATATTTGCTTATATTACATACTGCACGTATATGTTACGATAAGAATACTGCTGACCTCATAATACTCTTGATAAATAACTTAAGTTATATTTATCGCTGCAAAGAAACTGAAGGTCTGTGTAACAAAGGACCCTCCCTCCCTTACATTTCAGCAGGTTAGGTTAGCATCACTACTTTGGTTGAAATCTAAGAGGGAGCTTACGTGTACAAATTAAGGGGAACCCGACCCTCCATTACGGGGTGGGGATGGGGGTGGGGTGGGGTGGGGCTCTCTGGGACGTGCCGCCGCCTCGGTCTTAAACCTCTCCCCGATTTACACACTCGCATTGCAACGTCTCCACTGAATAGATCTATATAAGATTAACACTGTTGACATTTCCCAAGGTGATCAACTGTAGCTGTCATTCATAATCTCCAAAGATGGTAAATAGTGTGCAGAAAACAAAAATCCGAGGTCAGATCAATTAAATTGAACTTAATTTGAACCAGGAGAGGCAATGTTGCACGTGACTCATAGTTGTAAACAGATTGAGACAATTCTCTCATCTGATCATGGCAAGCGCAGCAGGAAAACATTCGCCCTTTTACAAACATGGATCTGTTTAATAATGTCGCAATTAATTTTAGCCCTAATGTAAAAAGGCAGTTTGTTAAATAAAAACTTTGGGGCATAAACAGCAAAAGCCCTGTCTCCATAACAAAAAATAAAATTGTTGATGTTTCAAAGTCTCAAAAGAAAGAATAGTTTTTCTTAGGGTTGCTCGTGGCTTGGTTTGAATAAGTTAACTATATGAATATACACGTACCAAAACCCTTGTCATCCCACCTGCACTTGGAGACGTTAACCATTACATTGGGTTCAGGTAGTAAGACAATCTTAATTAGACGGATTGCCCAGACGGGTCTTAAGGTTTGGAAGTGGGGGCTTCAAGTGTGAAGGGGATCAGTTGTGTGTGTGATTTTGTGATTGGTTAATCATTAACCATTTGTCTAAGTGCGACAGCTAACATTTAAACACACGGTACCCCACGCTTTTGGTAGAATTTGAGCATACCGTCAACATTTTTTTCTCTAAAAGGCAGAAAAGGAGATTTAAGTTCCCCGCTTTCTATCACTACCTGTAGGTTTGTTACATATTGACAGGGAAGCGTCCATATAATAGGATATAACGGATAAAGTCGTTCCGACCCCTTGACACCCCCCTCACGATTTTATATCAACAGCAATGATGATCATTAATATTTCACTAATGTTACATGCGTTAAGCCGTTTTGTAAAAAATGAGCCACAAGCTATAAAGATTATTATTATTGTAAAATTAATGTGGTCCCGATGTCTCCTACGAATATATCTTTCCAAAATCAGCATTCGCCAGCTTAATCTATTCCCCAGTTCATAACCGTGCCTGGCAAGTGCGACTGAAGGCATATATGGCAAGAACCCTAATTCAGTGCAGGCGTTCTCCCAGCCCAATACCTACTATCTTCAATGCAAAAATGACAGAATTAAAAGAAAGAGAGAATATCAAGCCAAAACACTTATTTCTTCTTGATTTTTAGACGACAATTATTAATCCAATCTTGCTATGTTGTGACACTTGTAGATAACAAACGTGCCCGGGTCAAAATATAAGTGTATTTACACCGGCCGTGTGTGTTTGCTGTGATAGCTTTGTTAAAAAGACATTAATTGTGTAAGGGTTTGACGTATTCTTGAAGGCGTCGGGGAAGAGAAGCATATCCCTGGTTTCCAGTCAAAATGTCACTGTTTTATGCCTGTTTGCTGTACTTTGTGCTCCTTCATGCTGAACCCACCTTGGCTCAGACAACTGTAACTGTAAAGCAAGGGGATATCAATGGGAAAATATCAATTCTTGGACCCAACGTGACCTCGTACCTTGGGATACCCTACGCTGAACCGCCTTTGGGTAATCTACGGTTCAAGAAACCAGTACCTAAAGCTGCGTGGAGTTCTCCACTGAATGCCACTGAGTATGGACCAATATGCCTGCAAAGGAACGCCACGTTTCCTAGCTCTGAGGACTGTCTGACACTTAATGTTCATGTACCTCAGAATAATAACACCGGCCCTAAAGCGGTCATGGTTTGGGTTCATGGCGGAGGGTTTGTCGTGGGCAGTGCCAGGGTACTGGATCCTGTAGTTCTAGCCCTTGAAGACGTTATTGTAGTCAGTATCAACTATCGATTAGGTATATTCGGTTTTCTCGCTGTTGGGGATGTCGCAAAAGGTAATTACGGACTTTGGGACCAACATCTCGCTTTTCGATGGATAAAAGAAAACATTGCCGCCTTTGAAGGAGACCCTAACAGAATCACGATATTCGGAGAATCTGCAGGCAGTATGAGCGTGTCTTTCCATGCTATGTCTCCAATGAGTGACGAACTGTTCCATCGTGTCATAAGTCAAAGTGGGGTGGGTTCCCAAGATTTTGTCCTTCTGCAGAGTTCCAAAAACATCGCCTTACTGAGTGAAACTTCAAAATGTAACAGCACCGATTCAGTGTCTCTGGTATCGTGCCTGAAAAATAAAAGCGAACAAGATCTTCTTGAAGCCTCTAATATTCTTGCTGAGACGTTATTTTGGATACCCAATATGGACAACGAGCTCATAACCGGATACGTAGAAAGTTCGATAAACTTTCTGCCAGACCAGTACCGTAAACTCGACTTCTTGATGGGAAGCAACAGCCTTGATGGTAACTTTGACACCCAGGCACTCGCCAAGGCAGAGGACGGTTTCACTGAATCAGATTTCAGCAAAGCTGTGGACAACTTACTTCACGCATTTGTTAGACTGGACAGAGATGTGATAAAGGCTGCTCTGTTACAAGAGTATACAGCAGGTGTATTAAATCCAGACAACAGAACAAGAGTGAAACAATTAGTAGAGATGGAAGGGGACCTCTTTTTCACGGTCCCAACCCATTTGAACGCCCTCAAACATGACACAGCCAATGGTACTGGTTCCACATTTGTATATTACTTCTCCATAAACACGTGCTTCAAAGTTTTACCCACTGCATCTTGGCTGGATGGAGCTGGGCATGTCGACGAGTTAATCTACATTAATGGTATGATTAGTAGTGTGTGCAACGGTAGCGCCACGCCTGCTGACCTAGCCCTTCAGACTGCTATGATAACTTACTGGACCAACTTTGCTAAATCTGGGTAAGTCCTTGATTCAAAATCGGTGTATTTGCTCAGTAGTTGCGCCCTATTAGTACGTAATTTAAGTGGCAGTGACACTGTGTGAACTGTAAACAGTGTAAAACCCTACTCCCAGATATATGGCCATTTTTCTGAAAACTGATTTTTCCCTTGCGTAGCTACGGTTATTCGTTACTCTTGGCAGTAGAAGCAGTAGAAGGTTGTGCGGGCGGGCTGCCGCGTTTTATGTCGTTTTTTTTACTTATGTGTTTCATAGTGAGAGCTGAATTTTTATATATTACTTCAGCACACCAAATTAAAAAAAAAAAAACCTCCACTGGGTAAGAAAATAGGAAATCAAGGATTTAGAAATAAGAGAATAATAGGAATTTCAAAGCTTAAGAGAGCAAAATATTTTAATTAAAATAATTTAATAACAAACATAGCTTCTCTACAAACCAAAACTACTTTTTACGCGCCGCTGTTTTTCTATTTCTATCTCTACTTCATGCAGTCTCCAGCGGCCCTCTCTCGTTTTCATTACACGCAGTTTTTTAAGTATCATAAGAGTATGTCAATCAACTCAGTTCCTCTACAAAACACTAACCGCTCCTTGTTCACGCATGACTGTCAATTACTTACATTACATCTTTTTTTATTCCAATAGCAAGCTTAAAATTTAGATAGTAAGTTCAGGCCGCAGCTTACACCCAAGTATTTAGAAGCTATAGCACGTGTAAGCAGATATGGACAAAAATATCCGCAACCAAACGAAATGATATATTATTCATTGAAGTTAAAGCTCATAAAAAAGGGGAGAGGCAACAGCTCTGTATGACTGTTAAAAAAATGATAAATGAAAAAGTGTAAGGACTTTTTAAATTGTTGGGATTACTTTTCATTGCGAAGACAGAGTGGAGTGACATATCGTTTATCTATTTTCTGGTTAAATACTGTTTCAGTTTATTTAAGTAAAATTGATTTATCTAAATTGTTTATATCCACAAATATTGGTAACATACACAAGTTTCACGTAGCATATTTATTTCACTGTCATATCTACCTAATCGGGAAAGTCAACGTTATGCTACAGTTTACACTATACCTTGTGATCTTGGCCCAAAGAAATGTAACAAAGTTATCTGTGGTCAGCTGCAGGCGTAACTTTATACAGATTTCTAATTGACAGGTCAAAATGGATGCCTGAAATCATCTTAGTTAAAGAGGCTTATCTTACAAAGATAACATTGTTTTACATGTGTGTCACCTCATTATTAAAGGCACTTCTACGATGGTCACATTCACTCACCGATTTATCTTATCGGGCACTACAAGTAATAGTATTACTTAATTCAAACAAAAGATGTACGGTCACTCTGGTAGCTGCACTTCTTAATGAGTTGGCCCACAAGTGAATGTTAAACAGATCCACAAGGGTGTGTCTGGGCAGTGTACATACAAAACGGCCTTAGGGTTACATTGTATTTCATTTACCTGGAGGCGACGTCGAAATGATGCGCCTTCCTGTCGAAATGAAATTGTTCAGTGCCTGTGCACTGTTCTTTGTGTTCCTTCATGCTGAACCCACCTTGGCTCAGACAACTGTAACTGTACAGCAAGGGGATATCAATGGGAAAATATCAATTCTTGGATCGGACGTGATGTCTTACCTTGGGATACCCTACGCCGAGCCGCCGTTGGGTGATCTGCGTTTCAAGAGACCAGTACCTAAAGCTGCTTGGAGTTCTCCACTGAATGCCACTGAATATGGACCGATATGCCTGCAAATGAATGCCCGATTTCCCAGTTCCGAGGATTGTCTCACACTTAATGTCCATGTTCCACAGAATAACACCACTACCCCTAAAGCAGTCATGGTTTGGGTTCATGGCGGAGGATTCGTCGTAGGAAGTGCTAGGGAATTGGACCCTGTAGGTCTAGCCATGGCAGACGTCATCACAGTTAGTATCAACTACCGTTTGGGCATGTTTGGCTTTCTTACTATTGCAGACGATGTAAAAGGTAATTTGGGACTTTGGGACCAACACCTCGCTTTCAGATGGATAAAAGATAACATTGCTGCCTTCGGGGGGGACCCCAACAGAATCACGATATTCGGAGAATCTGCAGGTGGTATGAGCGTGTCTTTCCATGCTATGTCTCCAATGAGTGACGGACTGTTCCATCGTGTCATAAGCCAAAGCGGGATTGGCACTCAATATTTTGTCCTTCGACCGAGTCCTACAATTATCACTTCTCTGAGCAAAACTTCAAATTGTAACACCATCGATTCGGCGGCTTTGCTATCTTGTCTTAAAGGTAAAAGTGCCCAAGATCTTCTTTCTGCCTCTAATACCCTTGGACAGTTGCTTATTTGGATGCCGAACATGGACAATGAGTTTATAACTGGAAACGTTGAAAGCTCATCAAATCTTCTACCAGAACAATATGGAAACCTTGATTTTTTGATGGGAAGTAATAGTCGTGACGGTTCTATCGAAATAGCGGTGCCTTCCGAAGCTGAAAATGGTTATACAGAGTCAACTTTCCGCAAATATGTCGAACGTATGTTATTTGGGAGGTTGGACAAAGATATTATTGAAACGGCGTTGATACAAGAGTACACAGAAGGTGTGTATAACCAAGATAACAGAACGCGCGCACAGCAATTAATAGAAATCGCAACGGACCTCTTTTTCACAGTCCCTACCCAGTTGAACGCCCTCAAACATGACAGAACCAACGGTACTGGTTCCACGTTCTTATATTTTCTCTCCATAAATACATGCCGCAAACTACTGCCCGCGGTGTTGGCTGGATGGAGCTGGACATGCCGACGATCTAATCTACATTAATGGTCTGGTCAGTGTTTTGTGTAACGGTAGCGCCACACCTGCTGATCTAGCCCTACAGACAACCATGATGACCTATTGGACGAACTTTGCTAAATCTGGGTAAGTGATTCATACTTGATCTAAATACGTGACATACTAATCATTAAACACGATAGGTCTATAAATCTGGTTCTATTAAGACGTGCTTATAGGTTGAGTTGATTGTCATGCAAATGTAGATTGCATGAATAAGGCAGCGACAATCGGTATTGGTAATATGTGCTTCATTAAGTGGAACGCATTTTTTATGATTGTCCCCTTACTGTCATCGAGTTCGCTTCATGAAGCTTACTAGGTGACAGTTTATTGATAGGTCGGGTCGAGGTCGGATTATCCGCTTGGGTGACTCTCTCTCACCTACTGGGTAATATAAGGTGAATCTCTCACCTACTGGTTAATATAGCCAGTATGGAAAGATGTCAATCTCTCAAGGTGCACTGGTTCAAACTGCATCGCTGTGAAAAAGGCCCCAGTTTCACCATATCTCTGTTTTTCATTTTTGTCGAAACAAAAGGCATGCTAGGCAGTATAAAGATTAATGGGAACTTCCAATTAATATTAAGTATACAAGTATATAGAACACGTTTTATTTCATTATTGTTGGTTCTAAATAAAAAGCGCAATGGCAGAATTGACAAAAAAGGTAAAATTCACGACTGTTTTCAAACATAAAACTTCATGCTGATTCAGAACTAAAAATCATTATCTTTAAAAACCAAACATCAAATCGAATAAACAAGCCCTTTCCCTACATACGGTAGGTATTCGACTGCCACGCTGTCCGTCTGCAGATATGGTATTTAAATAGGGGAGACAGGGGTTAGTTGGACCCCGGGGTAAGTCCCCCCCCCCCCCCATCAATTTATGACAAAGTAACTATGGGGTAAAGGAATTGATCACACCTTTTTTTGTAAAGTGACCGTATCTAACAGTGCTAAGAAAGCGTCGGCAGTGAGTCCAAATGAAATAATTTAGCATCTTAAAGTAACTTTATTAAAGAGACTTGACAGGGGACCAACTTACCCCGGGGTACAACTAGCCCCGGTCTCCCTTACCGCAGTTTAAGGAGGTGGAAACCATGTGTGCACAATTTAATCCGATTTTAAATTCCGTCGAATTGGCCAACGCGTCTAGTTGAATAAGGTGTGCTTACCCACAACCGTTTGTATACACCCTGTGTAAACTGCCTCACCTTCATCAAACATACGGTGTGATCATTTGTGCTGGTCCATTCTTTGCTGTGGTTATTAGTATGGTCAGTTGGAGAGGGACACGTTTATTTAAAACTTTCCGACCAAAACTCCACAGAATAACCTTTTTAACCACAGTCAGTTATATCTACGTACACCATACACAGTAGTAAAACGAAACATTCAAATATACATTTATAACTGTTATATGATGAAACAGTGTGGTAACTGTAGTCAACTAACCCGGTGGTTTATATTGAAGTTGTCAAAGCACTTTTAACTACTTTTTAACGCAAAGTCCCTGACTGAAAAAAAAAAAATAAAACTTTCAACTGAACCACCAGTTGGACCATAGTTCGTGCGGGTTTTACATGGTATGTCCCTTAGGTAAACTATCCACAAGACTAATGATATCACAGGGGCGGATTTAGGCCGTCTTCTGGGTCTTCCGGAAGACGGTCAAATTTTAAAGTTTACATTGACGGGTATCTAATATATTCTGTCGGAAGACGGTCAAAAATGGAGGATGGATTAACAAAAATAATTTGGAAGACTGTCAGAAAATATCTCTGGATCCGCCCCTGATATCGGACCCGCAGGGTCAAGTACAATACCGGGTATTTTGCTTTATTTATTAACGTGATCAAACAATGGCCAGCTTTACCCGCGAAGAAGCTGGATTGTGTAATACTGACTTGTCATTCACTACGGTTCTCTCGTACCTTCATGTAAACAGAGGTGTGTTGACACTGCACTCTACCAGGCACGACGGGTTTTCTATACATTTAGATAAAGAACAGCAGTGGAGTGCAGTCGCACAACCCTGGCTTTTGTACAAAATGATACCGTTCAGTGCATGTGTGTTGTTCTGTGTAATCCTCCATGCTGACACCTCCTTTGCTCAGAGAAGAGTCACTGTACAGCAAGGAGATATCAATGGGAAAATATCAATTCTTGGATCGGACGTGATCTCCTATCTTGGGATACCCTACGCTGAACCTCCTTTGGGTGATCTACGATTCAAGAGACCAGTACCTAAGGCTGCTTGGAGTTCTCCGCTGAATGCCACTGAGTATGGACCGATATGCCTGCAAATGAATGCCCGATTTCCCAGTTCCGAGGATTGTCTCACACTTAATGTTCATGTACCACAGAATAATAACACCGCCCCTAAAGCAGTCATGGTTTGGGTTCCTGGCGGAGGGTTTGTCTCGGGCAGCGCCAGAGCAATGGATCCTGTAGGTCTAGCCATGGCAGACGTCATCACAGTTAGTATCAACTACCGTTTGGGCATGTTTGGCTTTCTTACTATTGCGGACGATGTAAAAGGTAATTTCGGACTTTGGGACCAACACCTCGCTTTCAGATGGATAAAAGACAACATTGCTGCCTTTGGAGGGGACCCCAATAGAATCACGATATTCGGAGGATCTGCAGGCAGTATGAGCGTGTCGTTCCACGCTATGTCTCCAATGAGTAACGGACTGTTCCATCGTGTCATAAGCCAAAGTGGGATTGGCACTCAATATTCTGTCCTTCGACCTAATCCCACAATTGTCACTTCTGTGAGCAAAACTTCAAATTGTAACACCACCGATTCGGCGGCTTTGCTATCTTGTCTTAAAGGTAAAAGTGCACAAGATCTTCTTGCTGCCTCTAATACCCTTGGACAGTTGCTTATTTGGAGGCCGTATGTGGATAACGAATTTATAACTGGAAACGTTGAAAGCTCATCAAATCTTCTACCAGAACAATATGGAAACCTTGATTATTTGATGGGAAGTAATAGTCGTGATGGTACTGTCGGAATCTTTGTGCCTTCCGAAGCCGAAAATGGTTATACAGAGTCAACTTTCCGCAAACATGTCGACCGTATGTTAACTGGGAGATTGGACAAAGATATCATTGAAACGGCGTTGATACAAGAGTACACTGCAGATGTCTTTAATCCAGATAACAGAACGCGCGTACAGCAAAAAATAGAAATCTCTACGGACCTCTTTTTCACAGTCCCTACCGAGTTGAACGCCATCAAACATGACAGAACCAATGGTACTGGTTCCACGTTCGTATATTTTCTCTCCATAAACACGTGCAACAAAATTCTGCCCACGGTGTCTTGGCTGGATGGAGCTGGACATGTCGACGAACTAATCTACATCAATGGTCTGGTCAGTGTTTTGTGCAACGGTAGCGCCACACCTGCTGACCTAGCCCTACAGACTGCCATGATTACCTATTGGACCAACTTTGCTAAATCTGGGTAAGTGATAAATACTTGTTCTAAATACATGGCATACGACAGGGGCGGATTTTGGCCGTGTTCTGGGAGACGACCAGATTTTCAAGTTTACATTGACGGGTATGTAATTTTTTCTGACGAAATACGGTCAAAATGGTGGATGGATCAACAAAATTAATTTGGAAGACTGTCAGAAAATATCTCTGGATCCAGCCCTGTACTAATAATTAAACACTATAGGTTTGTAATCTGCTTCTATTAAGACGTGCTTATAGGTTGAGTTGATTGTCATGCAAATGCAGACTGCATGAATAAGGCGGCGACCTACCGGTATTGGTAATATGTGCTTCATTAAATGGAACGCATTTTATTATTATTATTGTTATTATTATTATTATCAATAATGATGTTCTGATATCTCTTACTGTCAACGAGTTCGCTTCATGAAGCTTACTAGGTGAGAGTTCATTGTTAGGTCGGGTCGAGATTGGATTATCCGCTTGGGTGACTCTCTCTCACCTACTGGGTAATATAAGGTGAATCTCTCACCTATTAGTTAATATGGCCTATATGGAAAGTTGTCAGTCTCTCAAGGTGCAGCGGTTCAAACTGCATCGCCGTGAAAAAGGCCCCAGTTTCACCAAATCTCTGTTTTTCATTTTTGTCAAAATAAAAGGCATGCTAGGCAGTATATAGATTAATGGGAACTTTCAATTAATATTTAGTATACATGTAGAACACGTTTTATTTCATTATTGTTGGTTATAAATAAAAAGCGCAATGGCAGACTTGACAAAAAGGTAAACTTCACGACTGTTTTCACGCATTAAACTTCATGCTGAATCAAAACTAAATATCATTGGCCGCATTCACATCGAGTTGAGCCATGGCTCCACAAAGCCACGACCTAATTATGGCGGAAGTACATGAAAGGAAAACCGCCTAATCTTTCAATAGTCTCTCCGCCTCTCACCCGCCTCCCCATGTGTTGTCCCAATGGAGCCGAGATTTACTGGCTGTACCCCCGCAGGGACGACGCATGGGGAGGCGAGCGAGAGGCGGATAGACTATTAAAAGATTAGGCGGGTTTTCTTTTCTGGTACGGCTGGCCTATTTTGGTCGGGGGGTTTTAGAGGCATGGGTNTATCCAGTAGTGCTAAGAAAGCGTCGACAGTGAGTCCAAATGAAATAATTTAGCATCTTAAAGTAACTTTATTAAAGAGACTTGACAGGGGACCAACTAAACCCCGGGATACAACTAGCCCCGGTCTCCCCTACCGCAGTTTAAGGAGGTGGAAACATGTGTGCACAATTTAATCCGATTTTAAATTCCGTCGAATTGGCCAACGCGTCTAGTTGAATAAGGTGTGTTTACCCACAACCGTTTGTATACACCCTGTGTACACTGCCACATATTCATCAAACATACGGTGTGATCATTTGTGCTGGTCCATTCTTTGCTGTGGTTATTAGTATGGTCAGTTGGAGAGGGACACGTTTATTTAAAACTTTCCGACCAAAACTCCACAGAATAACCTTTTTAACCACAGTCAGTTATATCTACGTACACCATGCACAGTCGTAAAACGAAACATTCAAATATACATTTATAACTGTTATATGATGAAACGGTGTGGTAACTGTAGTCAGCTAACCCGGTGGTTTATATTTAAGTTGACAAAGCACTTTCAACTACTTTTAACGCAAAGTCCCTGACTGAAAAAAAAAACTTGCAACATAATCACCAGGTGGACCATTGTTTGTGCGGGTCTTACATGGTGTCCTTTAGGTAAACTATCCACAAGAATGATATCGGATCACAAGGGTCAAGTACAATACCAGGTATTTTGCTTTATTTATTAACGTGAATCAAATAATGGCCAGCTTTACCCGCGAAGAAGCTGGATTGCGCAATACTGACTTTTCATTCACTACGGTTCTCTCGTACCTTTATGTAAACAGAGAGGTGTGTCGACACTGCACTCTACCAGGCGCGACGGGTTTTCTTTATATTTGGATATAAAGAACAGCAGTGGAGTGCAGTCGCACAACCCTGGCTTTTGTACAAAATGATTCCGTTCAGTACATGTGTGTTGTTCTGTGTAATCCTCCGTGCTGACACCTCCTTGGCTCAGATAAGAGTCACTGTACAGCAAGGAGATATCAATGGGAAAACATCAATTCTTGGATTGGACGTGATCTCCTATCTTGGGATACCCTACGCTGAACCTCCTCTGGGTGATCTACGATTCAAGAGACCAGTACCTAAAGCTGCTTGGAGTTCCCCACTGAATGCCACTGAGTATGGACCGATATGCCTGCAAATGAATGCCCGATTTCCCAGTTCCGAAGATTGTCTGACACTTAATGTTCATGTACCGCAGAATAATAACACCGCCCCTAAAGCAGTCATGGTTTGGGTTCATGGCGGAGGGTTTGTCTTGGGAAGTGGCAGAGAAGTGGACCCTATAGGTCTAGCCCTGGCAGACGTCATTACAGTCAGTATCAACTACCGTTTGGGCATGTTTGGCTTTCTTACTATTGGGGACGATGTAAAAGGCAATTTTGGACTTTGGGACCAACACCTCGCTTTCAGATGGATAAAAGAAAACATTGATGCCTTCGGAGGGGACCCCAACAGAATCACGATATTCGGAGAATCTGCAGGCGGTATGAGCGTGTCTTTCCATGCTATGTCTCCAATGAGTAACGGACTGTTCCATCGTGTTATAAGCCAAAGCGGGGTCGGTAGTCAACAATTAACGTTACAAAAAAGTACGAAAAACGTCGTCTCATTGAGTGAAAATTCAAAATGTAATACAACCGATTCAGTGTCTTTGTTAGTTTGTCTTAAAGGTAAGAGTGGACAAGATCTTCTTGCTATCTCTAATATGCTTATAGAGTTGTTAATGTGGGTTCCGAATATGGACAACGAGCTTATTACTGGCAACGTGGAAAGTTCGGCAAATCTTTTACCAGATCAATATGGGAATCTTGACTATTTGATGGGAAGCAATAGTCTTGACGGGAACGCACTGATCAGGGTACCGGCCGAGGCCGAGAATGGTTTTACAGAACAAGCTTTCCGTCAACGTGTCGACCAAATGTTAACTGGGAGATTGGACAAAGATATCGTTCAAACGGCGTTGATACAAGAGTACACTGCAGATGTCTTTTATCCAGATAACAAAACACGTGTAAAACAGTTCGTAGAAATGGGAGGTGATCTAACATTAACAATTCCCACCCATATGAACGCCCTCAAACATGACGAAACCAATGGTACTGGATTCACGTTCGTATATTTTCTCTCCATAAACACTTGTCACAAACTACTGCCCACGGTGTCTTGGCTGGATGGAGCTGGACATGCCGACGACCTAATCTACATTAATGGTCTAGTTAGTGTTTTGTGCAACGGTAGCGCCACACCTGCTGATTTTGCCCTACAGAATGCTATGATAACTTATTGGACCAACTTTGCTAAATCTGGGTAAGTTACTCGGATAAGAATATAAGATTATTACTAGGGTACTAAAACAGCTGGCAAGGGACACCTTGTATGGCAAAAGTAACAAGGATATGTTAAAAGGTAAATTTCCTGCCTCCATTGATAGCTAATTACGTTTTTAAAATGAATAAAAAAAAATCGAAACAATTGCAGTCAATCGTATAAAAACTACGGCGGGTTATCGCATTAATGCATTTTTTATACTAATTTATGGTTTGTTTACTCCGGTGATCTGTACGTCGTGATCACATTTTACTATCTGATATTTTCTGCAGGCTTGAAAGAATTCTTAATTTTGTCTCGTTTTGCTCGCTATGTTCTCATTTGGTGGCTGTGGCGGTGTGTGAGGGGGAGGGGGGTTGTGAGTCAGTAGCTACGAGCTAAGAGGAACGTGGCTGCTGTTAACTTTCCAATTTCCCCAGCTGATCACTGTTCTTCTTTGAAATGGTGGACTAGTTACAAGACATATTGTATATTACATATTGTAGGAAGAATGTTGCGATATTTTATATCTTCTTACCAGTATAACTCGCATGAGAGTTAGGAACAACTACTGGCATTAATGCATGATGAATCTGTTGTGACAGTACAAGAACATGATGATAACTATACATTTATAACACTGGCTGGGAACATAATAATATATGCTGATACAAATACGCGTGAAAATGACGAAAAATACTTTACATAACTTCTTTCACCATTATATTCCCGAATCAGAATGTGTCATACAAATAAGCAGGGGACTTTGCATTATAACTGTTGAAAAACTAATCAATTTTCTATTTTGCATACCGTGCGATGATTGATAACATACCTTTAGCATCTACATTTGTTATGATTTTGCAAATACTTTTACATTTGTTTATATAAATAAAGCACCGGCACTTTCTGTACAGATATACATTTTTTTGTTAAAATAACACTATGTCATTCTTATAATTAGCTTCTGCTCTAAAAATGTAAGGTATAAAACAATAGACGCATTAACATATCCCCGTCCTAGGCTAAATATCATGATCTGTCATTTTTCTTAGCAACCAAATGTTGTTGTGTCTTATAATGATCATATTTTATCAAACTTTATTTTGTTTTATTTTATGAAATAGTTCCGATTAAGAAGTCAAAAACAAACTACGGGTAAAAGAAGGTACCAGTACAATGAAGTAAATTAGCGCTTCTTCATTGTAAGGAGTTTACACCACCAAATATGTATGTGTAAACATTAGACCACGCCCGACCCTTGTCACCTTCTGACCCCTGAATAATTATTAGCAGTCATTTTATAACGTTCAAAATCTCCGTGTGGGCTTACAGTGCCGAGTTCCCATTAATGACCCACACAGGTAACCTCCGTCCTAGATTTTCACCCTCTTTCGTCTTGCTACCTGTAACCCTAAACTATGTGAATGTTATGGTTGGCATAGTCTCTGTAACATTAGCCCTTGCTTTCTTATCACCGAGTATGATTTTTAAAAATAGATTGTACAGCAAGAAGGTTGGCAATGACGTGAACTTTTTATTGGAAGAAGGCCCGCCTCGTGCATACTATATAACAAAGGGCTGTTAACAATAGACTGTAAAAAGATCCACACAATGTGAGACAGGTGCGGTGAGACAACTGCACGTCTCCACGTGAGGCAAGTAAAATATATAGGACACAGGCTTGAAAGAATTCTTATTTCTTAATTTTGGCTGTGGCGGGGGGGGGGGGGGGGGGGGTAAGTGAGTCAGTAGCTACGAGAGAGGAACGTGCCTGCTGTTAACTTTCCGATTTCCCCAGGTGATCACTATTCTTCTTTAAAATGGAGGACTAATTACAAGACATATTATATATTTAAAATTTTAGGAAAAATGTTGCGATATTTAGATAATATCCAACAAAAACCTTTTATTTCTACTTACCAGTATAACTTGCATGGGGAGTTAGGAACAACTACTGGCATTAATGCATTGACGAATCTGTTGTGATAGCACAAGAACTTGATTATAACTATACATTAATAATACTGGCTGGGAACATAATAATATATGCTGATACAAATACGCGTGAAAATGTTGATTGTATTTACGGTTAAAGTCCACCATTATATTCCCAAACCAGAATGAATTTTTACAAATAAGGAAGGGATTTTGCCTTATAACTGTTGAAAAACTAATCCAATTTTCTATTATGCATACCGTGCAGTAATTGATAACATACCTTCAGCATCTACATGTACTTAATTTTTTATGATTTTGCAAATAGATGTTCTCTTTTACATTTGTGTATATAAATAAAGCACCGGCACTTTGTGTACTGATTTAAATTTGCAGCACTTTTTCGTCATAATAATACTATGTTATTCTTTTCATTAGCTACTGCTCTCACTGTTCTTCTAAAATATATCTTAGCGTTTCGTCGGTGACAACCTCATATAACAAGAAGACTAAAATTGGCTGTATAAATATTCTGCTGTTGTAAAATGTGACAAAATATTATATTCCTAAGGATGTTGTGGTGCATTTTCGCGTCTGATAAGATCTCTGTATGTACATTACCTTATATTTATGTTATATATGTTTATTTGACACTCTGAAAAAGTTACCCAGTTAATTTATTTGACTTTTTCCAGGAACCCAAACCTGCCTGCCTCTGTTCTAACACAGTGGCCCAAGTACGACCATGTTCAGCGCGAATACCTCGACCTCAATGAGAACATCACTGCCAAATCCAATCTCAAAGCACGTCGAGTTGCCTTCATGACCGACGTGCTTCAAAAGCTGGTGGAACTTCCATCGGAGGGAGTTTGTACAGAAACGGGCGATGCCATGGATGACTTGGTTGTGAATACTTTTTACGGCAAAATCAGAGGGAAGCGTGAGGTCGTAAAAGAATGGTACTGGGAAATGTTTCTTGGCGTTCCCTATGCAGCTCCCCCCATAGGAGAACACCGTTTTCTCCCACCAATACCTCCAAAAATGTGGAGCGGCATCCGGAATGCAACGGAATTAGGGTATTCCTGTCATGGAGGAGCGGTTTTTCTCTCACCGTCTCCTTTAAAGTTCCACGAAGATTGTCTCACCCTTAATATTTATGTGCCCGCAGGAGTGCGAATGTGGAAAGACGAAAAACTTGCTGTAATGTTATTTATACACGGAGGTGGCTATGTGGTTGGATCAAGTTCAGAGTACGACGGAAGAGCACTTAGCTGGTACGGACGCGTCATTGTTGTCACCATAAATTATCGCCTCGGAATCTTCGGTTTCGCAAGCACTGGGGATCAGAATGCTCCCGGAAACGTTGGTCTGATGGATCAGAGTCTTGCAATGCGGTGGGTAAAACAAAACATAGCCTCCTTTGGTGGTGACCCCGAAAGAATAACTATATTTGGAGAATCGGCAGGTGCTGGAAGTGTCATATACCAAATGCTTTCACCTATGAGTAAAGGGTTGTTCAAGCGAGCCATAGCAGAAAGTACATGGATGGGAGCTTGGGACTTACATTTCATCGACCCAGCAAAAAAGAATAACATAGATATGATACGCGAGTATGGCATTCATTTCAACTGCAGTTCTTCATCAGTAGACATGATAAGGTGCCTTCGTGATATCAATGCTTCAGATATAGCTCAATATGCCTCTGCAAACATGTTTTCTCTGCCATTAAAACTATTCACTCCAACTGTTGATCGTGAATTCATGCCCTATTCGCCATCCGAAACGTTCGATTTGCTTTTAAAATACAAAGACATGATTAAAGAAGATGACATGGTTGACCTACTTATTGGCACAAACAGTGGAGAAGGTTTGACAGAGTCTTTTGGCGCAATATTAACGACGTTTCCCAATGGTTCTCAGACGACCAATGGATTAACAGAGAAAGAGTTCGACCAAATCATGAAAGCATATGTTACGCCAAGCGTAGGCAATAACCTTGAAATAATTATACCTATGATCCAGAACGCTTATACCAACTTGGAGTCGCCAGACAATCCAATGAGACGACTTCGTGCTTTTCAAGACGTTATAAGAGATATCACATATGTGGCCGGGTCAGATTTGGCAGCACAGGTGCATTCTACCTTAGGAGGCAACACGTACGTGTATAGGTTTGCACACGAACCCAGTTTTGGCCATTTATTCCTCGGGACATATGGGCTGCCTACTGAACCAATCTATGGTTTAGCTGACCATGGGGAAGAACTTACCTACGTGTTTGGTCAGCCTTTATTCACTGATGTTGTCCCTATGAATGTTTCCTCAAGAGACGTTGAAGTGTCAAGACAAATGATAGCTTACTGGTCAAACTTTGCCAGATATGGGTAAGTCCTTACAATACCGGAAGAATAGATGAAACCGAAATCGTAGTGGTATTTTAATTAATTAAAATAAAATTTCTATTAATATTTAACTGTGAAGATCCTAAATAAACCTTTGAGACAAATAGGCAGAAATAATTATTTCAAGTCGAGATATAGAAAAATATTTCAGAAGTTTTTGATGTGACAATGATTTGCTGCCATAGGCCTACTGCCATTAGTAAAACAGATTTCTTTAAATTTCTGTAGTCCATTGAAATTATTACCTTGTGTATTTTCAGTTCTCCCAATGGCCCTACAGTTCCAGTCTTTTGGCCTCAGTACGAAACATCCATGACGTCATACATGTACATCGGAAACGAGACCGAAGTAAAACAAAATCTGGGTGGTTCCCGAGTCCAGCTATTGAAAAATGTAGTGAGACGCCTCGCTGACTCTGGCAATTGTCCTGCAACGTCAAAAACTATGTACACACCAGCTCCCTCTAACGGTTCGTGGATAATGCAGTATATCATGCCGGATCAGCCTGAGGTCAATACCCGTGTTGGGCGTGTGAGAGGACTTGCTCTGCGGGCCAGCGCTTTTACTGGTGGAAAAGATTTAAACCTTTTCCTAGGTATTCCCTACGCTAAGCCACCAACAGGTGATCGCAGATTCAAAAAGCCAGAACCATCAACTGCTTGGACTGAAACCCTCAATGCAACAATGAGCGCACCACCTTGCCTTCAACTCCCGTCAGATTTTATGATGGTGCTTGGTTTGAATCACACCAGTGAAGATTGTTTATATGTGTCGGTCGTCGTGCCTCGAGGAACCGTAGTAAATGATAAGAAGCCTGTTGTTGCCTTAATTCATGGTGGCTTCTTTATAAACGGCAGTCCAGATGAACATTCACTGGGAATTTTCTCTTCTTTGGGCGATGTCATTACTGTAAGCATTAATTATAGACTCGGTATGCTTGGATTTATGTCGACTGGAGATGACACATTGAAAGGGAACCTCGGACTCTATGACATGGTGGCTGCAACAAAATGGATTAAAGAGAACATTGCTTCTTTCGGTGGCAATCCAGACAAAATAACCCTTTTTGGTACTGGATCTGCAGGACTGGCAGTACTTAATATGATGGTCTCCCCTATGGCAAAAGATTATTTCCATCAGGCTGTCATCACGGGCCCTACCACGCCTTACGCTGCACAAACGCCGGCTGCATTAGCGGAAATAAGCAGGAATTTTTCTGCTGGTATTGGATGCCGACAGGAATCGAGCTCAGAGCTTATAGAATGTCTGAGAAGTAAACCAGCCGATGCATTCATTTACAAGGGAAATCCTTACCTGGCAAACCACGTATTCCTTGTCACTGATGGAGAACTAATAAAAAGTGATCTTGTAACAGCGTATACTACCAGTACTCAACTGAAGCCTCTTGTGATTGGAAGTACGTCAGACTATGCTGGTATTTTCCTTCAACAATATCTTGGTTACAGAGATTCTATGACCCAGCAAGAAGTCGACGCTTCTATTGATATGACAATTGAAGCAGTTTTTCCCAAATCAGGAATGAAGGACCTTTTGAAAGCCATGATTAAACAGCAGTTTTTTTCATCAGAAATCAAAAATGATAAAGATAGACTGATGGCTCTCTTACACTTCTATAACAGCATGCACAAGTACGGCTGGTTGTATATGCTTGGTGTAGGGCACGCATCCCATGGTGGAGACGTGTATATGTACGAATTTAATCATCGTCCACAGTGGTCATGGTACCCCGAATGGATTGGCGCCACCTTCCGAGACGACATAGGGTTTTTGGAAGGCTTACCGTTCGACAAACCACTTCTGGCTGAATTATCATTGTCAGTCACAGACCGAGAAGAAATGATCAGTGGGGCTCTCATGTCGTATATCGGAAACTTTGTTGGAACAAGGTAGGCTGGCTAGGCATCATCAATAGTTTCTTGACTGATACATCTAGATTCGAGTTAAGATGATAGCAGCAGATAAAAACCTGTATACTGAGCTAAAGAATTTTGGTCGTGTTTTGCGTATTTCAAATTTCCCATTATTGCAAACAAACATCGAATTTAACTTGATTATTATACTTATTTACCGAAAGTATTTTATCAAAAATCCCTTCTTCTTTTTGTAGTAATCCAAACCAAGGCAATTTCCCAGTGTCCGTGGAATGGCCAAAGTTTGGTGCAGATGATCCAAACTACCTCTTGGCAGGTCTACGATTCATAGCAGCAGACATGAGGGACATGATGGGCCAAGAACAAATACGTTTCTGGCATGGTGAAGGAAAAAATAATTCCATACTGGACCAAGTTGCTACTATGAAGATGGACGCCCAAACAATGAGTACTTCAGCACCTACTATGCCCCCTGCAGCAACATGCCCACCCGCGTTGGGGAGCTCTGATTTCCTAAATTCAATGAATCTTGGCGTCAAAGGAGTAGAGGATCTTGTCTTGGCACTCATTGTTATAGCTTCTGCGTTGGGTCTTTTCCTCATAATTGCAGTAGGTTATGTGTGCGTACTGAACGGCAGGGTTGGGAAACTTAAACAAGCTGCTTACTCCACATCAAAGACTGAGCTAACCAAGATGTGAAGTGGAAATTTGCAAAATTTATATTTAATAAATCATTCAATGAGGAAATGAAAATAGTATTTGAGAAATGAAACAAAGAAAGACATGTTTCGGTGTACAAACCAATTTTTTAAGAAAACGCTTAAAGAAACAAAAAAGAGTAGGAGTATTTTGTTTATACTGAAATACATTTTACCTCGTTATTTATTTTTTTTTTTTTTTGTTTTATATATTCATCAACTATGTTTAGATATAAGATGGGAAATTTTTTGTACAATGAAAGTTTTTGATTCCATTATAAGGTTATTTGAAGTTAGTTATGATTTCCATACTTCGTTATGAAAGTACTTATTTAAATTACCCTATTATACAATATGTATAAACGGTTTTGTTATTTAAAAGGACGACGGATCTACAGGGTATAATACAGAATGTTTACATAGTAGATTAAGGAAATGCTTTAGTTGAGAATTTAAAATAAGAGAAAATATGCATATTACTTTGGAATTCTGTCGTGTATCCTTACTTAATTTGGAGCACAAAACGACGATGAACTTTCTTCTCAGTAGGTCGTTTCATTGCGTTAAGGTCCTAACAGGGTGATAGCTACAGTACAGGACATACTTTTACCCATTTACAACAACTGGGCAATAAGTATAAGGTGCGGCCCTTTTCGTAATTAGGTTATACCAATTTCACCCAGTTGGGTCAAAGCTTGACTGAAGTTTTATAATTATTTCTGTGATTTATTCTATAGTAAATAAACGGATTGAACAGATCATTAATCTGCATGGTTATTTTGAGTCAATAGGTTTCCAACTTTAATCAACATCATAGAGATACTATGTAAAAGACAAATTTTGGGCACACGTTGAGCAATGCCTGCAGCTGCCTTTCAGAATGTTTTTTTTTTTTTTTTTTTCCCTTTTTTGCCAAATCGGTTTATTAAACTTATTGATCAGTAAGACTATAATATAATATAATATAATATAATATAATATAATATAATATAATATAATATATATGGCTCAGACTTGAGTGTTATTGTCCAAGGGGTCCATTTCACGCATTTGCCTCTCACCTTCTGCCACCTGCCCACATTACATCATATGTCATATATCATAAACTAAATATTGTGAGGGAGAAGAATGATAGATCTGAAAACTGTTTGAAAGATATTTGTTATTTTATGTGATGTATTTTTAATTCAATTCTCTTGAGTGTCGTTAAGGTAATGCACAAAAGCTCAGTTAAAGGTCCTCTTCACGAATATGTTTTTTTTTCTGAGAAAAAGGGAAATTATTGCCTACCCACGAAACATTGCCTGACCCGTCCATGCACTTGGATTCGAAATCTTACTCCATTTTTAATTTGACAATTGAGTTCTAGATGACTGACCAGTTATTAAGAGCGACATCTGTCTTAACGTGCATTACCTCGTTTTCACACAAGAAAATGGCGCGGTGTTTTGTATCTCATACAGCCGTTGCGAGTTGTCAATGACTGCCAGAGAATTCCAAGTAAATAATGCCGACACTAGGTTCCCTTCAGAAAAGAATTTAAAGGGCATTATCACCTTAAAGGTCCAAATGGGGATATCTTAACATGACACAAATATGCCCGTGGCGGATTACTTAACTGCGTAGACATCCTTTAAAGCAAATATTTACTACTGATATGTTACTGTTTGACAATAAGATTAAGAGGTAGTTTTATTGAGGGTCAATTTTATAAGAAGACACAAAGTAGTTCTCCCGACATTTTGGTAAAGCTATCCCTAACGTTACCCAAACGGGTGTGCCAGAAATATGTTTAATACTATAATCTCTGTGGTCTTCCTCTTTCAAGTTGCCTATTCACAGAGTGTTGTTCAAGTTCAGCAGGGCGATGTAATCGGCACAACAAAAACGATTGGTAACACGACGGTGCATGCATACCTTGGGATACCCTATGCCGAGCCACCCCTAGGTGACCTACGGTTTAAGAAACCAGTACCTAAGGCTGCTTGGAGTTCTCCACTAAATGCCACCAAGTATGGACCGATATGCCTGCAAATGAACGCCATGTTTCCTAGCTCTGAGGACTGTCTGAAACTTAATGTTCACGTACCACAGGATAATAACACCGCCCTTAAAGCAGTCATGGTTTGGGTTCATGGCGGAGGGTTTGTCGTGGGCAGTGCCAGAGCAATGGATCCTGTAGGTCTAGCCCTGGCAGACGTTATCACAGTTAGTGTCAACTACCGTTTGGGCATGTTTGGCTTTCTTACTATCGTGGACGAGGTAAAAGGTAATTTCGGACTTTGGGACCAACACCTCGCTTTCAGATGGATAAATAATAACATTGCTGCCTTCGGAGGGGACCCCAACAGAATCACGATATTCGGAGAATCTGCAGGCGGTATGAGCGTGTCTTTCCATGCTATGTCTCCAATGAGTAACGGACTGTTCCATCGTGTCATAAGCCAAAGCGGGGTTGGCAGTCAATATTTTGTCCTTCGACCGAGTCCCACAATTATCACTTCTCTGAGCAAAACTTCGAATTGTAACACCACCGATTCGGCGGCTTTGCTATCTTGTCTTAAAGGTAAAAGGGCCCAAGATCTTCTTGCTGTCTCTAATACCTTTGAACAGTATTGGAGGCCAAACATGGATAACGAGTTTATAACTGGAAACGTTGAAAGCTCATCAAACCTTCTGCCAGAACAATATGGAAACCTTGATTTTTTGATGGGAAGTAATAGTCGTGATGGTACTGTCGGAATCGCGGTGCCTTCCGAAGCTGAAAATGGTTATACAGAGTCAACTTTCCGCAAATATGTCGACCGTATGTTAACTGGGAGATTGGACAAAGATATCATTGAAAAGGCGTTGATACAAGAATACACTGCAGATGTCTTTAATCCAGATAACAGAACGCGCGTACAGCAAAAAATAGAAATCTCTACGGACCTCTTTTTTACAGTCCCTACCGAGTTGAACGCTCTCAAACATGACAGAACCAACGGTACTGGTTCCACGTTCGTATATTTTCTCTCCATAAACACTTGTCACAAACTACCGCCCACGGTGTCTTGGCTGGATGGAGCTGGACATGCCGACGACCTAATCTACATTAATGGTCTAGTTAGTGTTTTGTGCAACGGTAGCGCCACACCTGCTGATTTTGCCCTACAGACTGCTATGATAACTTATTGGACGAACTTTGCTAAATCTGGGTAAGTTATTCAGTTAAGAATACGAGATTTTTACTGTGGTTTGCAGCAGGCTATTGACATCTGACATGGCAAAAGTAACACAGATATGTTAACAGGTGAATTTCATGCTTTGAGAGATAAATCATAGTTCCCTTTATAGCAAGTTAAGTTTCCATAAATGAATAAAGTTATTCTAATCAATAGCGTTAAACACCCAAACCCAACATAGAGGTGCATTTCTCAAGTTCAAGCCTCAAAAAATGAAATTGAATGAATTCGATGTATTATCCAATTTTTTAAAACTTGCATGTGTATAGAACAAAAATCTACAAATGTCCCAATTTTACGACCACGCGTTTCTGTTTTGTAAGCAAATAAATTGATAACAGTTTGAAGTAAAAAAAAAAGCGTAAGAAAGAACATACGTTAACACTGAATCGCATGATACAAACACGATCATTAGTTGAGCGCTGTGGAAATTTGTGCGAGCTAAACACTATCAGAACCCTAAGAGTCATTAATGATGGAAAAGTGATAAGAAAATACATTTAAATTGACCAGATCTAGGAAAATTACTTTCAAACTAAAGATCATTTTTCTTTACAATGTCCACGTTGATGACTCTTTCAATAGCAGTAATTGTCAGTTTTATAGAGAAATGAAAACTTTGTTACCTAAAAGTTATCTACCACTGGTCATATTCGTCGTGAATTTAAAACTCATTGACAGTTTCAAATTTTGGGTGTATTAGTTACAATACCAACTACGCCTCGCATCCTTCGCATTCCGTAATGTAACGTACGTTCCACAGCCATAGAAAAGATACGGGACACGAGTTCAATAAATATTGATAAGATATTTTTTTCGCTTTTTTTTCGTAAAAAGACATCAAAAGTGATAACCTTGGGGGCTTCGTATCTCGAAAGGTTCGCTATGTTGCGCACGTGCGCAAGTGTCTCGATTCCATGGTCCCGTATGTCGAAATAGAATCGGTTATGGAATTGAGACGCTTTCGCACGTGCGCAACACAGCGAACCTTTCGAGATACGGAGCCCAGGATTTTGTTAGGAAGGATGAGAAGCAAAATGATTTTAAAAAATTAAACGACGGAGGGCATTTTACTAAAACACAATGCACACAGGCATAAAAGAATTCTTAGTTTTGCCTTGTTTTGCTCGTCATGTTTTCATTTGGAACATTATTTTAAAAAATATTTACCGAACAAGCTGAAGTGTAGCCTCAATTACTAAAAATATTTATTTAATATGGAAAATTTGCTTGAACCAGTCTTATTTTATTAACACTGTGAATGACACATTCTCCATCGTCGTCGTTGAATTACCATTATTATTACATCCCTAATCTTATTTAACAATCTTATTGTTAAGGCCTGGTTAAAGTTTGTTTAAGTAATGATAGCCATCCCCAGCAGACATAGTCGCGTTGGATCAACGTTGAAAACAGGTTGATACGTTGAATTGCCGTTGTTCTACCTAAATTCAACGTAAAATCAACGTTGATCCAGCCACGTCGAAACACCGTCATAATGTGACGTTGACGCAACGTTGTAGTTTGGTCATGGACACAACCTTGCAGACATGAATTGTAATTAAAATATCAATTGTTGAAAACGTGATACTTTGTTTATCAATACTGTAACTAACTTTATCATAATTCTGACCATTGCTGATCTCCTCCGGTACCCTTTATTGACCGTACTTTATATAGTGTGATCACACTGTCAGTCTTCCTCATGTTGCACGCTGCAGTTAAATTGTCCTTACGCCACTGCTAAATATTTTCTCCTATTCTGTTGTTTATATAAACCTTCTCATTTATTTTTAAGTATTATAATCTCATTACCCATTGTGCGCTCTTAGAAACGGGGGATTTAGCAATATGCCTCATAACTATTACAGGACGCCCTTTTTTCTTATTGTTGTTAAAAAATGGACGTTAGTTTGTCGAGGTTTATTGCTTAGCTCTTAACGCGTTATATTTAT